TCCTTCGAAGATTGTAGTTGATTTGCTGGTGCTCTGGTCCTGAGTTCTTGGCGGGGGGGGGCGGGCATTCCGAAACCTGCAGTGTGCATTCATAACCAGACAATTGCGGGTTCAGATCCCAGCTGGGGCAGTTGAAATGTTCTTGCCAGCCACATAAAATAAACGTTTTGAGACGAAATCAAATCAATTCACCCTTGAAAAGGACGTCGGCCTGCATTGTTAAAACCAGTGTGTGTTTCAGGCAGTGTTCTTTGGGATGGTAGGCCACACGCTAGCAAATGTGTATTTTAAATATCTGCTAGGGGCATATGCAAGGAATTATTCAGGATGGCTTATTTATGACTTCTGCAAAAGATACCTGCATGTGAAATTTGAACTCATCTGGAAGATTGCGACTCGGTCATCAGATATCTGGGCCATCCGGACTGTCAGCACCAGCAATGTGTAAGGCCTCTGCCATTTTGGTTTTTAGAACCTCTTACATTTAAATGAACACACGATGCATGTCCTTTCCTATGGCAATAGACTCCAAACCTAGGGGCCCTGCTCTGGGCTGCAATCTGAGTGAACCTGTTGGCTAAGGAACCAAGTATTCACCTGGCTGTCATTTTCAACTGATCCCTCAGCAAAACTCTTGTTTATGTCGGCCTGCGGAAGCAGGAGCTGACTTTTACCTCCTTTTTTTAACACGCCGGCCCCCAGTGAGAGGGGAGGTGAAAAAGGCCCTTGGACAGGGGGGGGGGGTTCAGATACAATCATGGCAATAGTTATATAATCAGATAATGTTGGCCCCCGCTCTCACATTTGAAACCAAAGCTGCACCCATGAGGATAAGAAATGCTAAGGAGGTGCGGGCCGGCTCGAATGTGAAACAATATCCTTGTATCCTGTGCTTCCAATCGTGCATCACTGCAGTTAAGTACCACCTCAATTACACTGCAATTACCATTCGAAACTGCCCAGGCACATTCTGTTTTCTTTTCTTCTAAATTTATTGGGGGAGGGAAAGGGGGAGGGGAGGATTCAGACGGGGGGGTGGGAGACACTGAAAATAAACCTGCCATTTTTACAAGTGGAAAAGGGAGTCGGTGTCCCATCTCCATTTCCTGCCCTGGGAACCGTGATGGCGTTGTGTCAGGTGTGACTGGGAGGTTAGAGGAGGTGTGTGGAGGGGGGTATCTTCGCCTGCCGCCCCACCAGCAACGGGAGACGGTTAATACCAGAAGACTGAGCCCCGAAACGTCTTCGGTTCCAGGCTCCCGTGACCCGCAGCACAAAGAGAAAGATAGGAAACGGATAAGCCGCTGAATTGGAGGGGGGGGGGAGTGTGATGGCCGTGGGGGGAAGCTGCCTTTTTTGTTCTGTACCTGCATTTACTGCTCAAGCAGGTGATTGACATGTGAAAACCGAGGACGGGCTCTGTGTAGCTCTGTGCAGGTGAGCACTGCGGTCCTCCCCACAGTGGTGCTTCTGTTCAGGTGGCAGGGGGGGTTCAGTTCCCACGGACGGGACGTGCAAAGCTGCAGTAATCACAGCGGTCCCTGCGCTGCCACAGACAATGTGTGGAAAAAGGAAGAGGTTGCAAAAATGTACAGCTAAAAAAAGCCCGCAAAGTGCAATTGGCATCAAGCAACAAAACTGTCCACACATCTTTTGCTTAGTGTTCGTTTCCACACATGTGAGCGTTTACGTACTCCGGGCACCTGACGGGATCCTGTCCACTTGTCTCCTACGGTATGTTGTTTGTGGTGGCCCTTTAAAGATTGGCACCTAATCGGGGGGGCCCCGCTCAGGACTGGGACAGGTTAGCAGGGAAATATGACACTGCGTGGCACCGGCTGGAAAACGGTTCAGTCTCGGGAGTAACAACGCGTATCCGTCTCTGCTGGCAAGTCTCCAGCCCCCAGCACCTGCTTTAAATCTCCACAGCTTGCCTGCCATCAGAAAAATGTATCTGATTGGATTATAATTGTTCTAACACCCTTCTTCGCCTTTGATACACAGAATCCCCCCATCCCCGTTTGGAACCATTTCCCGGCACATGTTAGCAATAGCAGCAGTGGATCAGACTTCACTGCTGCTACTCGGCAGGCCTTGGTTAAAATGTACCAATCACACTAAAACAATAGCGGCCTCTTTCTGCTAATTGTTTTCCGAGGGTTTTCGAGTTCAGGAAATGCCTTAGGCTGACGGCAATGGAAACTGAGGGAATCTGGGCAGCTTGGCCAGTTACAGCTGGGATTCCACCTTGCTTCTCCTGGGATCTAGAGGGGACCTGGTTTTGTCTTTACCTGTTACCCTTACTACTGCTAATACGACACGGTTCTCTAACCGGTAATCTCCGATTGCCAGTTTGATTCTGATTAGTTTGATTAACTAACTTAAAAATGCCTTCTTTGCCCCTGAAACTTAAAATCCATTTGCAGAATCAGATTCTTTTTTTATACGGGCATTAGGTTTAGTGCAAAATGGCTTTTTTCGTTCAAAATTGTCTGCCTTCATTTCTTCCACACAGTATGCTACACTGCGTGTACTGATTGGATATAATTAGGTTGAAAAATCACTGCCTGAAAAGCGTTCATTGATGCACTGGTCCCAGCCTGGTCCGACAGTTTTGGCTTCTGTAAACTGGCCTCCAGGAGTGTCCCCTCTCAGCCTCAGCCTGTGCTGAGTCTGAAAAAAACCCATGCCACCATGTAGTTTAACACCCTGGCTCTCAGACTTTAAACCAAAGCTTCCCATCAATAGTGTGGGACAGATCCTGATTTGTGTAGAATTCTCCTTGGGAAAGTGCTCTGTCTCTCTAGAGGTGAGCAGAGGGAGCACATAAGTCTTTTCTAGGTATTCAGAGTTAACTAGAAGCATACACATCTTGCTCTGTGCGTGGTCACTGTATAACCCTCATCGGTCAGTCAGTCATTGCTCTTCACGTACAGCTACCATATGCTTGTGCGGTATGAGGTTCAGATTCATCAAACTCCGAGTGTGAAATGAACGTATCTGCAGAACTGAATCAAGTCCAGAGATGGCTACTTGCCACAGAACTGGAATTAGAGCTTGTGTTCTAATCAGTGTACAAATATAATTTCAATACATACCACTAGGGAAATGCAACTGTCGAGTCTCCTATAGAGCTATCACAAACAACAGAATTACTGTAGTCACCATAAAACAAGTTTCTCCCAGTGATCCATTGCTGAATTTATTTAAGGTATGTGTTGAAAAATATATATTTTGCAGGTTTTTAATTGCATTTTAAAATATATCTAGTGATATTTTCTTCAGTTTTGCCATTACGGAGCAGAATAGACTCTTGAGAAACTAGATGTGACACCACTCACTGACACAGGAATGAATATGGCGATTGTTTTTGAACCTTCCAAGTTATTTCACTGCACATGTAATATATACATCAATAGACATATTTCCTGTATTATCCCGGTTTTTATGAAGCTATTTCATGTTCAGAACAATTGGGTTTGCAAAAAAATCGGGAAAACAGGAACTGTTTTACATGAACAGATTTGAAATTGGGAGCAATTTTTTTTTTTTAACTCGCTACTCCTCTGACATCTAACACGTGCCAGATGTTCTGGTTACATGTTTCCACATGTTTGTGTAATGTTTAAGAATTTGTAGCTCTAACTGAAATTAAATTCTTCTTTTTTTCCCCAATTTCTCCCACATTGTCCATCTGCAATGTTCTGTGGTTTCTGTCTTTGTGCAGCACTACAATCTGAAATACAATCCTGTTCACAAAACACAATGGTGCGATTCAGTTGACTGGTGCATACATCCGCATGCAGTATATACTGTGTCTTATACAGAATTTCTTTAACAGAATGTAAAATACTCACAGCTGCCAAGGTTTACTCACACTGCGATAATAATACAGTTGTTTTTGCAGCACTAAAAAAAAAAAGGATTTGCATTTTTATCTCTGATAAAAAAAAATTAGTGTGTGGATTTCCACTGCTGCTGCTGCTAAGTGTAGCACCATTTCAAATTTTTAACCCCAGTGTAGCCAACTGCTTCCAGGTCACCATTTTCACAGCTACCATGGTGACTGAGGCCCAGACACACAGAACTCCTGGTCATGGCTTTGAAGGCAGTTGGTGCCTGTCGTTATAGCAACCCTAGAACCTGCTGGTGGAGGCCAGTTCTGAGGAAAGCAACCAAGTCTTACAAGGAGAATGTCAGGGCGATACCGGTCTCCCAAATTGGCCACTCTTGAATGGCCGAGCGGGCTGTGGTTGTGGTGGTTGTCTGGGCCTGGGATCGGCTTGGGTGGAGAGGGACTACTGGGTGCCTCAGAGGTGTCCTGGAAAAGCCAGGGACGTTGCTTCAGCTAGAATGGTGAACGAGTGACAGGTTTAATTCCCTGCTGAAAAGAGAAGAAAGGAAACACAAGGTTTCGGCCGTGGAGCCTTCTCCACAAATTAAGGCACAATACGCAGCCTGTGTGTTGGAAACATACAATAAAGTGTTTGCACAGTATAATACTGAGATTCTAATGCAAAATGAGTGACAGTCATGAATAAATCAGCCTTTTAGTAAGTTCTTTTGCAACAAATTATGGGTTTAATGGACTTTTCTTCAGTGAACACTGTGATTTATCAATGGTCATTATGCTGTATATAAGCACTAAATGTAAATTGAATTTTTTTACATATATCAAATGTTTTCCTTGCTTTAGCCTTTTTCATAGAATTTAAAGTGTTTCAGCTCCACCTCAAAAGTACAAAAAAAGGGGAGTATTATTAGGCCACTTTGAGTTATGAAATTTACCCAGAATGACTAATGAATTGACTATAAATAAATGGTCTTTTTCCGATTTCTCTATTAAACAGTACAATAAAAATCCTTAAATCCGCCTCCAACCGCCTGCAACACCGCTTCCGCCCCCCGAGCTGTGCAGCAGCTCGACCTGCACGTCACACGTGTGAGCCCACGGCCGCCCGCTCTCGCGGTGTTTGCCGCGCCGACGTCACAGGGTGCGCGCATGAAGGGCTTCCGTTTCCGGAGGTCGGCGCGTGCTGCCTCTTGCTGTGCTTCGCTGGTCTGGGAAATTTTTTTTTTTTGGCTGTTGCCGAGAGCTGCAAGCAGGGATGATGATGATGGCGGAGCTGGTGCAGGGACAGGCCTCGGTGGCACAGCCCGGACTGAAAGCAGACGGCTTCGCCGACGCTTTACACCGGGCCCGGCAGGTAATGCAAACACGGCGGGGGTGGGGAAGAGACACTCGGGAGAAATTCAGATGGGAGTTGAGCCAGGCCTTCTCCATGGGGGAGGGGTGTACTTTTTTAAAACCAACGTAACAACCCCCCCCCCCCTCCTTCTCCTCCTCCTCCCTTCACTCCAACTCCTCGAAAACAGTCATACACAACTCCAACCGTGAGATTGCATGGCTGTGCATGCAGATTGTACTAGCCATGAGGCCAGTAGACGCTGGGAAACCTTGTAAATGATAACGCCGTGATAAATTAGTTTCTCCAAAACAACTTCCCGGCGTGGGGAAGTGGGTCAACTTTTTTTTTTTCTGCTTCCTAACACGAGTAACAAAAATGCAACCTGTTGTTAAGCCCTGGAAGAGTGCTGCGCTATTTCTTGCTCTGGCCTAGTTGCTTCCAGCGGTCCTGGAGACACCAAACCGATTAGCCCCCCCCCGCCACCGCCGCCACCACCACGGGCAGCTCAGCACAGACGGACAGAGGGGTATTTTTGATCTTGTGACGTATTTCCAAGCTCAAGACCCACAAGAGTGGCGCTGCGTGCGTTGCTGTACAAACACGCAGGGGCATCAGCCGACTTTAATGGGCTTAAACGCGAAGCCGAGCTCCTTAAAAAAAAAAAGTTGAGGAACAAAAAACGCAACGACACATACGAGAGCCTGTCTGCTTTCCTGCCGGGGCCTGAAGTCCACGCTGACTTGACGTCGTGGTGTAGTTTAAAAAAAAAGGGGGTCAGGTTTTTCAGTCAATTTAAGCGATTCAGGACGAAAAGTAACTTTAAGGAAGCCAGCAGGAAAAGGCTGAAAGTTTTAAAACTTTAAAACGAGTTGGATACCTGAACTTCAGTGACGCTCCCCTGTTCTCCTCTAATAGTTTAGGTTTTCTCAAAGCCTGTTTGAGCAGATGAGCGCTTTTAACAAGGCCCCCGAGTGAGGTCCCGTGTATACTGGGATCTCCTGCACGACCCCAGGCCTTCCCGAGACCCAAAAGAAACGGTTTTCTCAACCATGGAATAAAGAAGCAGCTGTTAAGCTTGCTTTGTGTGAAACGCACCCAAGAAATGTATTTTAACTCCGTGCGGAAAACAAATGATCATCCCGACTGTGCCCAAGGAGTTTCCCCTTCCGATTATTCTCCAAGCCCGTTTCTTAATACACTCTTCTTTAAGTATGTTAAACACACTGAAGAAGATGTCTTTCCCAAATAGTTTTTTGGGATCTTGATTAAACTCCACCTGTTCAAGTAGTTATCTTATCTGGCTGTGATCCTTGAATTTGTGTTTCCACTGAATACTGCTTTGTAGGGAGATCCCATACATGGCATTCTGCAGTCCAGAGAGGTTTGTAGGTCTGCTTAGGTAATAGGCAGGGTGGTTTAGCACTCCTCATAAAATTTAATTGAATTAATTTAAGCCTTTTCCACTGGTAATGTGCTGTTGAGGATGGTTTGAGATCTACTGTGCTGCTGGACAGTTACCCTTGAACCCCAGGCGGGTAGACCAGACACAGTTCCACTATTTTGACTCCCTGCAGCTGGTGGTTGTCGTTGCGGCTGATGTTATTAAATAAACCCCCTCATTAGCCCTTCATCAGTTGCTCCAGCTCGGAAACCCTCTATCAAGGCTTAAGAGTTGAAAACAAGATTTTAAAATGGGGCATATTGAGCAGTCTTCGCGATGACACGCCGACCTGAAGTACTAGGGTTTTCTTAGTTGAAGGGACTGTTATTTAATCTGTCAGCATTACTGGGTTTGGATTTTCTGATGGGATCTGTGCAGTCTGATTTTATATAGAGTATAGGTTGGTTCTCTCGGGGCCTGTGAGGCGTTCTGATGTCTTAATTGGTGTCTGCTGTATTCAGTGTCCTGTGGTTAAAGCCGTTTATGCTGGTCTGTCCACTGGTAGCACCCTGAAGCTTCCCGGTACACAAGCAGCAGGCTGATCGTGGCATCACAGGAGTTATATCGTGGCTCCATTAGCCCTGTGTTTGCGGAGTTGACTGGTTCTGCATTTCTGCAACATGGCCCGTGGCTCTTAATACCTGCTTTTCGTTGTGTTGTAACCCCACTTAACACTTTAGTGGCTGCAATGTGTAGCTTTGGATCACATACCAGCCTTCTGAAGTTGGAAAGACGTGAGTTTAGAAAGGGATACCTTTTGATCTGTATTATTGATAAAAACCTGCTTTTAGGAGTTATATAGAGTGCTTTGTGACTCAAGTAATATTCCTGAAGGCAACCTTGCACTGCAGCATTGCCAGTCGAGATAGGAGTGTACGGATGATAATGGCTGCGGTGGGTTCCGGATCCTAAAAAAAGTTGTCGGTTTTATTTATTTTTTTAGATAAAAGCATATCCAAACTTGAAAAGAGGATGTAGGATTTTCTTTGAAAAAAATGTTACTTTAAAAATAACATTTTGCATAGTTTTTTTTTCCTCCCAATGTAAGTCAAACTTACATTGCTCAGCTTATTGTGGGGGTGTCCAGGTCGTTTCATGTTGCTCCCGTCTGCTGCCTGCATCTTATCTGGGGAGCAGCATAGCCGAAGTTTGAACCTGCAGTCTCCGAGATTAAAGATTTGCCCTGTTCTCTTAAGTGGACATATTTCTCATTTTAACAGTTAACAAGGTTTAACAGTGCTTTGTTTTCGGTCGTGAACTTGTTATTTTAGAGGCATTCTTAAAATTTTAAAATTACAATTCATTTATTATTTATTATTATTTGTTATGTTTACGTTGTTCTTGTTTTGTGGTGGTAAGTGGGGGGGAAAAAACATTTTATTATATGATGACGTTTAATGATATGGTTTCTGATTTTTTTTTTTTGTTCAGTCCCGGTACAGCCAGTGAGACTGTAAGCAGTAGTGCTGCAGACAGTGGAAACAGACCCTACAATGTTGAAATATACCTCTAAAGGTTTTGCAGATACCGTTATGCATAAGAACTTTCAAAATGTAACCGGATCAATGTAACAGCAAATGGAAATGTTCTGTTGTGAAAGTTAATGACTGGATGTTTAAAGTTAGCAAAAATATTTGAGAAGCCATTTTGAATATTTATGCCTCTTGATAATTGAGCTTAGGTGTGGTTTGTGGCCTTGATCTCTTCCATTGGTAGTAGCTGAGAAGGCCTCTGAATGACTCCTCGATACATGTATCCTGCTGTCACGGTAGGAAGCTCATGTGACTTGAGTCTTGGGTGTGTCCTGCAGCCCAGAGATTGCAGTGTGCATAGGCCATGGAGTGTGCAGTCTGAGCTATGTCACCAACAGTGACAAGAAATTATCCCCTAAGAAGTATTGTTAGTTGGTGCATGTTGTTGTAGTCTCTCTTAGGTTATTACAGGGTTATTAGGTTATTGTGTTAAGAGTTACATAATTCTTGAAATCCTCAAAGGGAGAAAACATGTGGAATAATTGTATTAAAATACAATTATTCATCTGTGAGCTGATCTAAAAAATCAGTGGAAAAACGTGACCGAATCTTGTTTGAAAGCTGAAGGACTTGGAATCGGCTTTTATACTGCACAATTGCTCCTATGCTCGATACTGTCATGTACCACCAAAAGTTACTTGCGACAATCCATTATCAGAAAGCTGCATTTTCCTGCTAAGCACAGGGCTTACGATGGCTCTGGTCCTGAACGGGGTGCCAGTCCATAATGGGGCACGCAATTGGAGAACAGTTGATCTAGTTAGCCTAGCCGGCGTGTTTAAAGACCGAGGTGGGCAGGAAACTGGAGTTCATGGACGAAACCCACACAAGCCTGGGAAAGTCAAACATAATTGAACCCAGGACCCAAGAACTTTTAGGCCAAAAAAAACGTATCCTTCTCTGCGTTTTGATTCGTTAATGCCCACACATTTCTGACGTTCTTTTTATATATATATATCCCCCCCTCAGAAGGTAGGCTTGGCTACGCGGAAATTGCATTTTTTCTGAGCTTAATCCTGATAACCTCCATTTTAGAGATCATAGATGTGTTCCAGAGAGTTCTTCACATACATTATAGGGATGATATAGATAATGATGCCTTAAGGCGATGGAAGCCCCTAATTGTGTGCATTGTATTTAATATGGTTAAATTACATCTATTTTGAGCCAAACAGAACTCTCAATTTTCAGCAATTTTCAGAGACTGTATCCATTTAAAAATGCATTTGGCGTCCCCCGCGTATCACATTTGAATGTCAGTTCTCTGTGAATGTGAAAAACTAATTGAACCTAGCACAGAGCAATTTCGTGGCAGACGGTATAATCATTGTGACAAGAACACAGTTTTGCCTTCTGCAACTTGTCTGCAGTTTGAATGCGTTTTTTATCAATTTAGCTGAAGTTGCGGCAAAAACACCTAATTTGTTGTGCTGCGGAAATCCATCGAATTCATACACTTTATTTTTTCTCCCCAGCATGAATACATTAAGAAATGATCATTTTAGAAATCAGTTTTTCGTTACTTTGAATTTAGAAATTGGATTATCGCAGGACAAGTTTATTTGAAGCTTTATTCCAAGTGTGTGCCGTCCTGAAGAAACATGATGTTTTTCTTTTCTGTGTGCAGATTGCTGCTAAAATGGGTGGAGAGCCAATGCCCCACCTGAACAGCTCCTCGCCTGTTGTAGACCCCTCAATTTATGGCTATGGAGGACAGAAGCGTTCTCTGGAGGAGGGAGGTAAGTCTGCTTTCAGTATCCCAGTCCTCGAGGGACTGGCTGTTTTTTCACTGTGACCCCCAAGCTGGCCTGAGAACAGGCTAAGAATCGCCGTTTCTTCCAAATAGCGCTGCACACTTACTAAAACACTTCACAAAAGCACCCTCTTAGCGCTTGCAAACACGTTTGGGACATGAAGGCTCGGGAGACGTGTGGGACACCGTTCAGGAGTGGGGTCCTTGCTGGAGTGGTCAGTACCTGGTGTGTCCAGTGTCAGCTGCAATGCTTGGTGCAGTCTAGGCTGACAGATATTGGCCGCAGGCCGCAGGGACGTTCCAGGGACAGTATGCAAAGGTCACAGATCAGCGGCGTGGTTGTATCTAATTCTGACATATGCCGACATGGGCACAGCGTCTTCAGGTGAAGAAATAGGCGGAATGTCTCGGGTCTTGGGTAACTCTTGCCTTGTGGAGGTGAGATTTATTGTGTTGAGGTTGGAGACCAATATATGATCACCCACTTGATGATGGCAGGTGATATTTGCCTTGTCAAGACCTGCATGAGCTTCGGTTTGGCGCAGGCTGGGGGAAGCCATATTACCGTCCTTCAACGCGCAAGAGCCCTCCGTTTTGATTTTCATCCCGGCGTCAAGGCGGAAGAAACGAGGTTGATTTAGTCTGGAAATAAAAGCGTGTCAGGAAACCTGCCCCCAGCCCTTCTGAAATTCTGAATCAGCCTGCTACTAAAATGCTCACAAATGCTAAAATGTGGCAGAAATCTTGTGCCAAAGCCCAGTTCCATTTGAACTGCTTGTGAAAGTGTAATCCCAGTATATGTATTGAAAAAGACATCCAGTCATTATGGGATGTTTCCTTTGCTGTTTCCACATACTGTGTCCACAGGTGACCATCAGGGCAGTTGCCTGCTGTTCAGCAGGGATCGTCAAAATCGGATTTCTGGGGTAAAAGACGGGACAGCCTCTTTGCAAATAATTGATAGGCTTCTGCGAATAGTGAAGGAGGTGTTTTTCTTGATACCTGTAATTTGTAAGTACAGCAGTCACCTTTGTATTGAGTATTTCTCATCTGTGAAGCTGAACTCCCAGTAGTCAGAGGTACAAGCCTGCTTGCGCTGCCTGGGCACCGAGTGATGCCGATTTTTTCGAGTGGCAGGGTGGGGCTGAGCTGTGTTATTGTCCTGGAGAGATGGGAAGGGAGCTCTGAAGCTCAGAGCAGGTTTGTTTCTGTTTCGGTGTAGTGCCCATTTTGTGCAGTTACCTAGCCAAGTTCTCTTGCAACCTGTCAGTGCAAAAAAAACAAACAAGTTCCTTTCATCTAAAAAAAAAAACCTCATTCCGTTTTGGGGGAGTGTCTGGATTTCAGAATGGATGATTCATTAGCGCTCAGGGATAGCAGCGTGAGCAGTCCAAGACCTGTGTGCATCAACAACTTTATTTGGCCTTTACTTCTCCTACTAGACCTCTTGCTTCACTTGGTTTCCAGCAGTGTGGTCTACTGTTCCTCTGCAGCGTTACTCGCGTGCGGATATCGGCAGCATGTGATCAGGTTTCTGTTCACTAGTTGCCATGATATTGATCGATGGCTGATATTGGAAACTAGGACCTGTGTTATTGGGTCCCAGTAAATCCATGTTTAATGGCCTTTAACCAGACAAGCAAAGTCTAGATCAGGGGTCGGCAGCCTTTCAGAAGGAGTGTGCCTCGAGTCAGCTCGTGCTCTTTTTGCTGTTTTGAGTGCCATGTTTTTATTCGTGTGGATAATGCCCCACTTATGTTTTGAGGAGAAATTAACATTAAAAGATCTCAAATTAATATGCACGTCTTACCATTTAGTGTGATCCTGGCCGCGTTCTCCAATCTTCAGCTCTTAGCAGAGGTTGAAACTTCCAGAGTGTCGAGGCAGATAAAGAAGGAAGTTCAATATTTTCACCACTGTGTTCGTCACGTTATTAAGCTCATAATTTGAGATCTTGGTACATTTTTCCTGATGAATAATGCATTGAAAATTTGCCGTGGAGGATCATTGTGATTGGCGATGATCTTTAGAAACCCCTTCTGTTTCCTGACCATTACAGGGGTGCTGTCAGTCGTCGCAGAGTGTTTTCTTGATGTCAGTTCCTTCTCAGTAATAAATGTCTTAGCTATACCTTCCCCTCGAGTTGTCATACGTTGGTTTTAGGCAGCACAGCTCTTCTTGAATGCCGTCTGAGTCGCAGTATCTCACAAGAATTGCTAATTGAGGTACGTCATTTCTATTCACGCCTTCCAGAGCACAAACAGCACGGTCTTGATATTGTACAAATCCGTATTCATCTCTCCAGCAGGGCAGGGATGAGCGGTCCTATAAATTTGCTTTCTTATCAGCCGCCATTTTGTCCAGAATGGTTGACTTCACACTGGTGAGAAAGAAGTATTTATCCCTGGTAAAAATAACAGTAAATAAATCAAATGAATTGGGGTCTTTTTCCCCAATACCAAAGGCCTTTCATTACGTCTGGTAAAGAATTACAAGATAGTCATGCATATTTTTTAAACTGATTTGTGTCTTATTAGACTTTTATTGCACATAAAATCCTTTTGCATGTCAATAATGGCACACCTGCCGTAGGTGGCCCACCTCTGGTCTAGTTCCTTGTAGATGGAGCTCAGTGCTGAACAGGGTTTCGATTCCTCCCATCAGTCCAGACCTGGCGCACGCATCCTGGACTGGAACAGACGTAAGACACCTATACTGGGAATGCCAGCCTCTGCTGGGCCCTTCTTGATTTGACCATTTCCTGTTAAGGTCTGAAAACCACCGTTCGTGACGTCAAGGCGATCAGTCGAAGATCATTTCGGGAGTCAACCGACTAAATTCAGGAATGGGCATCTAAAAAATTCCATGCTGTTGAGGTTTTGAGGTCTCTATTACCGAACACAGTTGGCACTGATTAGTTTTAGAGATCTGCCCTTCATCTCCTGAAGGGAGCCCAAGTATTGGCTTCAGGTGGCTTTGGATGAGAAAATGGCTCCTACCTAGTTTCTGGCTTGACTTGGGTTTGGTGGCCGGAATGACATACCTGGCTCCCCAGGACCCCCTATCCTGTCGCTGATCCTGAACTCAACTGTCAAATGAAAATAATTTTGCAGCCCCTATTGTTGGAAAAAATAAAATACAAGTGGTTTTATTCTTCAAGCATGTGATCATTGATTATTTTGAAACACAAGAGTGAAAACAGTAGCTCCCTGTTTGGTGTAATTGCACCTGGAACAGCAGTTGCACTGGTAACTGTACAGAGCTTTGGTTATAGTTGACAACTGACACTTCATCACATTTATAAGTCTTTTTGAGATTAGAGCGTTATCACGCCAGCGTTTTTAACACGAGGTCGTTTCACGTGCTGAGAAGCGAACAGAATGAAAAGGCAGGAGCACTTCTCCATTCAGATGTACACGATGGTCACAATTTGCTGCTGAAGATGTTCCTCTAAAAGCTAGGCTACCTGTTAAACCCTGCACACCTGTGATCAGCATGCGGTACAAAAGACACTGAACAAGATCTAAACAATTCTTAATAAAGCTGTCACTCGCACGCTTTCAGATCTTGTGTATAATCTAATAAAGGGCAGTGTATCGGTTTCACTGGAAGACATCCAAATAATGAGATCCAGCTCCGAGTTGCTTATGTATATGTTGAAATCTCATTCTGGTTATCAGTCGGAGGTATATGTGCAGAAATAGACATGACTTCCTTTTGAGAAGTAGCCCGATTCCTTGACTCGGTGTGCATAGGTTCTGAATGTTCCTTGCAGTTTAGAACAGGGTATAAGTGGTATATCTGTTTTTAAACAACAGACACATTTTAGAGTTTACTACACAAAGCCAATGTGGTGGAATTAACTCTTGATGCCCTGGGAAAGGCTGATGTGTAATAAGGGATATCTAGATGCGTATCATTCACATCGGGCTTCGGGTTCATAAAATCATCCGAAAAGGTTTTGAAATATTCCTAATTATCACATGCTATTTCGAAATGACTTTGGCACTCGGGGAATGAAACGGGAGCACCCCTGTTAATTTCAATCTCTAGTTCAGTAGACGCCAGGCTTGGTGCTTGCAGCTGGGAATGAAAGACTTCAATATTGGGAAAGAGAAAAAGAAGAATTCTTAAATCCCAGCAATGTGGAGGCATAGCACTCACCTCCAGTGAGCCATTGGTGCCATGCCCACTTCAGTGTTAAGCTAGGAGTGTTCAGCAGCTAACTTTATAAGTTGTATTTTAACGTTGAATTTTCCTTCACTTTAGAATGTATGAGTTCCGTAAATCTGTAGTATCTCTCTCTCCTTGTTTTTTTTTGCTTATAAAAAGGCATGTGGAGAGCAGCTGTCTGCTGCGTGGATAAGGTGTGTTACTACATGGTTTTTCAGGAGTGCAGGCTCACAGAACACAGCCCCGAGCTCTGTGCTGCTGGGCCTGTGATCGGTCTGTCTTGTTACTGCCGTTCTGTGTAGGTAAAGTTTGCTCCAGCCTGGAATTCCTGACACTGTGCCAGCCTACTGGCAGCTCAACGTGTATTAAAATTCACCATGACTCAGATGAACTGACACAAGTCTTACTGCATTCTAAAGGTAGGCGAGGAAGTGTTTTCAGATGGTTTCATCGGCATTAGGGGTTTTGCGCATTACTCGTATTCCTTTCATTTAATTTTTTTTCCCCAGTTTCTCTGGGAAGCAGATGGAGATGTTTTCAGTTTTGTGTTGTGAAAACAATTATTTTAGTTCCCGCTGGTTTATTTTAAAGTGCTTTAAGCCAGTGAAATGCAACGGCACTTGCTTTAGATCCCTCATTGCTTTTTGGTAGCTATATTAATGAGAGCAAAATGGAACCTTTAGACTGGCGAGGTTTCCTTTCCATGTCTTAAAAGTGCAATATACAAGTATATAAATGTACATTATGCTGCCTCATTGGAGTATTTTTACTTCGTTGTTTAAATCTGTTCACCACAATCTAAAACCAAGCACG